CTGAAGAATGATGGGTTTTTTGGGCATGAGCTCTCCGTCTAGATGCTCTGCTAACACCACTTTATATACATACATACTTTACATAATCCTTAAAAGTACTACATATATACTATATGCACATTTTGGTTTGCGTTTTAAGGTTTTCGAAGCTTTCGAAAGGGGAGAAGTAATTGAAATTAATTTACATATCTATCTGGGAGAAAAGGTGTATTTTCGATGTCGCTGAATCACCAGAGCAAAAAGTGCTACGTACCGAATGCATTCTGTAAAAATAACGACCTATTTTAAACTGATAAACTTCTGCCCCTCCGGCTGCCGAATTTTCACAAACAGCCGAAAATTCATCTCACGAGTGTCAAGTACGGAAAAAATGAATACGCTCCGGCGCTGGGAAACTTGGTGCAGCTGATTCCAGAGTAAGAATTCATTTCCACCACGCCTTAACTGCAGTTAATGCCTATGGGAAAAGGAAATTAAAACAGCTCTTGGTGAAAGTGGGCTATAAGTTACCCGAGTCCCACAGTTCTCAGGACGTAATGATGAGATAGAGAAAATCTTATTGGAATTTTACTAGCATGTATGAATACTAACGTTTAGGCGTAGTTTGATTAAGGCCCAAAAATGGTCGCTTCCCTAAGTTTAAAAAATCAACACCCTCATTGTTTTCAATATGCCGGTAATTTCACAACCCTCTGCGTCACGAAAATCAAGTTTTAAGTTCTCTGCGACCGAATTTATATATCCACGTCCTTGCAGGTTCCGCTTAATGATGCGTCAAATTTTGGTCACCGTAAACTAAGCGATAACGAGAATTATGAGCTCCTTGAATGTCCGTGGGCACCGGATGCTGCTTTTACATTTCCGCCTTCGAATAAACATAATTTGACATTTCAATTATCATGAGTTAAACTGTGTCAAACATATTTTTCTACATTTAAATTCAAATGCCATGCTAATATTTAAATTAATATTAGCGGTATTCATCTAAACCGATAGCTTTATCAAGCAGATATTCTTATAAATTTAAGAGCTCTGTTACATGAATGCCCCATACTCTCTTTTTGTACACACTTGCGACCGAGTTACATTGTCTTCAGGTTATCAAGATTATTCAGTGAGTTTCCATACAAATTTTGACAGTTGATTTCCAAAGTTTACACAATTATAATTTTATACGGTTTATAAGGTTTGATGTATACCCTTATTATGTTTCTTTACAGGCATTTTTTCAATGTACCTACGGAGCATAGTCCAACACCATTCCTAGACGCTCCTGATGTTTGCAATCAATCACTGTACCTAAAGGTATACCGATTCTTGCAGATAGGGCCAACTCTTCCTGTGACACTTATTTCCAGTGAACGCTCCTTCTTAAGCTTGAATCATATTTACGAAGTAAAACTGGGGAACAAAGATTATATGGTTAAGCTTTACTTAGCATCCACAGAAATATAGAAGTTGGGAATAAAGAAATACTGATTACAATATTTTCTTTTAAGTCGAAGCAGTAGAGAAATGATATTTCACATTTTTCATGCATACATATGTAATAACTCCAATTTATTGAAAAAAATATAGACATTTTGTACTACCGAAACGCATATTTGGTGCAACTGATTAAATGAAAAAAAAAAATCATAATTTTAAAACCCCTCCCGAAAAAAATTTCTGCGTTCGCCCCTGATCGACATCATCGGTAACAAAAACCGCGAAGTCTGTTCTGAGTCAAACCACGCCAACTGTGTCAATAAATTTGTGGGAATCTGTAGATAATTATAGAACAAAAATACACTTTGGACGGTTTTTCGAAATTGCACTTCTTTTTTGTTTTTTTTTTGGTATTATAAGAATATTGCAATTTTTGAGAGAAAAATTCGTAACTCGCGACCCATTTGATGAAATTCGATGAAATTTTTTTTGAGAGTTGCTGAAGCTTTTCCCTTTACAATAGAAAGATTTGCAGAAAAAAATTCGCAAAACAATTAATTCTTTGATAACAATAATTTAAACAATTGCAATTATTTAGATCTTCTAGGCCTGCGATTGCAGTGAAATTTTGGCACAATATACTTCAAAATCTTGTTTTTAAGTTCCAAAAAGAAAAAAATGGTCTTTTCAATTTTGATAGTCGCTATCGATTTTTTTCTCACCTTTAAACCTTGAGTATTATTTTTATAAGCTGTAAATAAACATTGATATTTTAAGTTATACGTTAAATAATGTACGTACTTGTATAATTATTCATTAACTAACATAAAAATGCTATCACTCACACAAGCTTATATGAAAATAGCTATTTACTCAAAGCTTAAAGGTGAGAAAAAAATCGATAGCGACTGTAAAAATTGCAAAGACCATTTTTTTTTCTTTTTGGAACTTAACAAGAGTTTAGAGCAGTGTTGCCAGAACTTTTTGGACGAACCGGCTAAAAACGGCTAAAATGTTTCAACTAAATTTCACATGTTTTATTTAAATAAATCACGAGTAAAAACTCTATTTCTTGGAGAGAAGTTACAAATTCGAGCCGGAAAAAATTTTGCCAACAAGAATTTGCAATTAGGAAAAACAAGTTCGTTAAATTTCTTTTGTTTGAAATGCAACCGTGGACACTAACTGGCAGAAAAACTTGCAAATTTACGTTCGTACAGAAATTTGCAAGTTTCTCTACATGAGAGAGAATTTGGGAGCATTTTTTTTACTATCTGATATCTTGAGTGATAATTCTAGCTAGATTTTCGACGAACAAACCTATTGTCTTCCCTTGAAGGCCTTTTCAGACTGACCGATTTTCAATACACTCAAATTGAAACCAGTACACATAAAAGACGCTGTAAAAATTTTCCTTCAATTTTAAGGCAATAAAACAACGACTTTAAGTTAACATCAACAGAGGCCATATGTTGACAAGGGATGCAGAATCACAGTTACACAAAAGAACTGGTCAGATTTTTCAGAAATCCCTTCAATTCTGATGTAAAATATGATGCCTAAAGACTGCAGATCACTCATTTAGATGACCGGTCATATGACCGGCAGATATCTCGCAGGATTCCCAGAGAGTTTTGCTTTACATAGAAATTTGTGCTCTTTTATTTTCATTTTGACTCACTTCAGTGTTGGTTCCTTTAATTCAAGTTGGCATTCGGTTTTTGGAATTTAAATAAGTTCTCAGCAAAAGAGTTTGTTTAAAAAAATACATATGTGTACCTGGTGCATGAAAATATCAATTTTTCCCTTACCTTAAACCTTTGGGAGTGGGCAAAAATGATGTTTTGTAATTTAGGCAGAATTGGATATGCGCTATCTGGGAAGACAATATCTACATGTAATATTTATTCTGTTTGTTGGCACTATATCCAAACACAAAGGCATCTTAAGTGTCTTAATAGTGAAACAATTTCTTATTTCCTAAGTTTGCGAATAAAACTTCACACTTAAAATTAAGACATTTATAACAAACATTTTATGAAGAAAATCCCTTCTTCGTTTAAAATAAAAATAAGCGAAATCGGCCCAATTTCATACAACCCTGCCTGACATGAAAATTTTCTCCACGATGAGGCTAGTAGCCATTTCTAACAGATTTTGGGTCGCTCAGTCAAAAATGGAAACATATATACATATTTGAAATTTAAGAAAACAAGGAAAATAGCAAAAACGGCTAATTTTTTCTGCAAAACGGCTAACAAATCGGCTGCCGGCTAAATCGAAATTTCTCCGGCTGTTTGCAATAGCAACCGGCTAAATCTAGCCGGAAAACGGCTAAAATGGCAACACTGGTTTAGAGTATCTTGTGCCAAAATTTCACTGCAATCGCAGGCCTAGAAGATCTAAATAATTGCAATTGTTTAAATTATTGTTATTAAAGAATTAATTGTTTCGCGAATTTTATTCTGCAAATCTCTCTATTGTAAAGGGAAAAGCTTCAGCAACTCTCAAAAAAAATTTCATCGAATTTCATCAAATGGGTCGCGAGTTACGAATTTTTCTCTAAAAAATTGCAATATTCTTATAATACCAAAAAAAAAACAAAAACGAAGTGCCATTTCGAAAAACCGTCCAAAGTGTATTTTTGTTCTATAATTATCTACAGATTCCCACAATTGTCTTCCCTTTCCATAAAATCAATGAAAATTCATTGACACAGTTGGCGTGGTTTGACTCTTCTGCCTTTTCCAAGTTGGATAGGGAAGCAAAGCGAATGGGTCTGGGGGTAAACGAGGACAAGACGAAGTATCTCCTGTCATCAAACAAACAGTCAGCACATTCGCGCCTTGGCACCCACGTCACTGTTGACAGTTACAATTTCGAGAAAGTAGAGAATTTCGTTTACTTGGGAACCAGCATTAACACCGATAATAATGTCAGCATTGAAATCCAACGCAGAATCACTCTTGCCAACAAGTGCTACTTTGGACTGAGTAGGCAATTCAGGAGTAAAGTCCTCTCTCGACGTACGAAAACCACGCTCTATAAGTCACTCATCATGCCCGTGCTGGTATATGGCGCAGAAGCATGGACAATGACAACATCCGATGAGTGTTTGAGAGAAAGATTTTGCGGAAGATTTGCGGGCCTTTACGCGTTGGCGACGGCGAATACCGCAGACGATGGAACGATGAGCTGTACGAGCTACGACATGGACATAGTGCAGCGAATTAAAATACAGCGGCTCCGCTGGCTTGGCCATGTCGTTCGAATGGACACCGACGCTCCAGCTCTGAAAGTATTCAACTCGGAACCCGCTGGTGGTAGCAGAGGAAGAGGGAGGCCCCCCCTGCGATGGAAAGATCAGGTGGAGAAGGGCTTGGCTTCACTTGGCGTTTCCAATTGGCGTCAGTTGGCACGGAAGAGAAACGACTAACGTGCTTTGCTGAACTCGGCCAAAATCGCTTAGGCGGTTACAGCGCCAAAAAATAAGAAGAAGAAGAACTAAAGACAACTTTGTTAACACATTTCTGAATATTCCACGTGTATCCGTGCCTGCTGTAATTACTAACCTATATTATCCAGACCGAGTGCATTCGCCTTTGTTTGTTTGCTGTTGCTTTTGCGTACACAGGTTTCGCCGGCATTTTTCCACCACTTGTCGTAGAGCATTTGTATATCACCCTTTTCCTGGAGTTCTAGTATGGACAAAGAAATTTTGTCACGCCATGGTGAGCCTTTTGGCGTTGCGATACCATAACCTATAAAACAAACAAAAAATCTTAGAAAATAATTAAACAAGTTTATTTCATTGTCATATATGTATATACTAAGGCATCCAATCCCGGACCATTATGTGAATCCCGGGATTTCGGGATTTTAAATTGGTAATCCCGGGATCCCGGGATATTTCTGGATATTACTACCATTAATTAGAATATGATAACAAAATAGTTTTGTAGTCCTTCTTTATTGCGAATACTATAAATAAAAATAAATTTGTGTTTTTAAGCAAAGAGATATAAAAAAAGAGATTTAAAAAGCTAATTACAAACAGAATAAACTAAAAACTATGGAATTGAAATTCATACATATTGCAGTCGCTGTCATTTTACAAAAAGTAAGATATAGGAGATCATCTTTACACTTACATATAGTATTTATACATATACATATATGTGTAGTAAGATTAGTATACCACAACGTATGTATATATAATTATATATATATATCGAGGGCTTATATTAAACACCCTCTATAAGCAAAAACTCAATTTTTCAGGAGAGCAAAAAAACTGTTCTGACGGTGTTAATAATTTTAAGTACCCACGCATGCCTTAAAAAGTCACGCTATATACTAAAGCTAGGATTTTACCTATGATTCATTTCAATTAAGTTTAAAGATCAGATAGAGGTTATTGCAATTCGAATTGTAACTATTTATACAAAAAAAAAATGTGCTGATAGCGGGTTTTGTAGAACAATGAAAATGTCAGTTCCTTAGCTGTAAATGTTATGTTAAACTAAGTTTTTAACACATAAATCATTGGTCTGCAAACTCGTTCCCTTCTATTCCGACGTGCCCAGATAACCACATAATTTTAATGGTATTTTGTCTCGAAAGAGTATCACGTGATTTCGAAATGATACGAGAACCATTAGCACTGTTAAAGAGGGCTTCGATGGCTGATTTACTGACCGTGCAGCTTCTAGCAATTATAAATTCCAAGCAGTTCGCATGAAAAGCACCGACGACAATTGTAAAACCAAGCCCTTTTGTTACCGCAAAAGAACACCCGGTATCATATCTGGAACCGTCTGTGAAAATACGCTCCCAGGTCATTTATGAATATAGAACTGGCTAAATGCCCTTGCGGTAGAGTTTTTACTTTAGTAGGCATCGATGTAGATATGATGTCCAAATCTTTGATGTAGCTTAATATACGAAATAAAGCTGATTGCTTGCTTCATCGGTTTTTTTGTTGAATTGAGGATTCGACGTGAGAGAATAAAGTCTCACTTCTGCAGTGAACAATCTTTGGGATGAGCATCTTTGTGTTGTACTTTACCCCTTGGTTATCGTTCTTCTTACTGCTGCATGGTAAGGTGTTTCTAGCAATTTAGATACTTTTTGCGCGGTGTACGTAAATTACGAGTCCAAAGTCAATTTTTCCTAATATAAAAGCCCTAATTACATTTACCAATTTAGTTATATGAACTAAAAAATACTTGGATAGTAAAAACTTTATAATATTTAGTCAAGCAAGTAAGCTTAATCTTACATTATGACAGTGCGTCAGTATAATACACGGAGAGGGTTGGATGTATACATTTGTGTTTTGTGCATATGTGAAAAAACTGAAATCTTAGCTCCTGAAGATTTGGACCAATTGTGGCAAGTCCTTAGTCTTACAAAAAATATAATGGTGCTAACTTTCTCAAAGGCTATCTATACATATAATAAAATTGTAACAGGTCGATGTCTGTACATTATAGATATTAAAGAAAAATTAATGTGGGGGGTCTTTATTAGAGCACCATAAGCCAAATCAACCATTTTTAGAATTTTTGTCTGTCTGTCTGTCTGTATGATTGTTCGCGCATCACTCGAAAACGAATGCATGGATTTGAATGCAGTTTTCACCGATGTATTGGTCTAACTTAAAATATAGGAAGAAAAAAATTAGAGAGTTGCCACCTGTTTGAAAATTGAATTGAATTGAAAGAGGCTGAAGAAGGCTTACAACCAAAAATATTTTTTTAGAGTTGCCACCTGTTTGAAAATTTACAATTAATTTAATTTATAAGATAAATTGAATATTGCAATGGGTATCAAACTGAAGGGGTTTAGGAAATTTTATTGCCGAAAATATTTTTGGGGAGGGCTGCCACCTGTTTGAAAAATTTTATTGTATTAAATCGATAAAATAAATGAAATCTATATCTACATCTATACATATAATAAAATTGTAACAGGTCGATGTCTGTACATTATAGATATTAAAGAAAAATTAATGTGGGGGGGTCTTTATTAGAGCACCAGAAGCCAAATCAACCATTTTTAGATTTTTTGTCTGTCTGTCTGTCTGTCTGTCTGTATGTTTGTTCGCGCATCACTCGAAAACGAATGCATGGATTTGAATGCAGTTTTCACCGATGTATTTCTAGAGGTCTAACTTAAAATATAGGAAGAAAAAAATTAGAGAGTTGCCACCTGTTTGAAAATTGGAGTTTAAGTAAATTGATAAGAAAAAATTAATTTTGCAATATGGGCGTCAAAAGAAAGAGGCTGAAGAAGGCTTACAGCCAAAAATATTTTTTTAGAGTTGCCACCTGTTTGAAAATTTACATTTAATTTAATTTATAAGATAAATTGAATATTGCAATATGGGTATCAAACTGAAGGGGTTTAGGAAATTTTATTGCCGAAAATATTTTTAGGGAGGGCTGCCACCTGTTTGAAAAATTTTATTGTATTAAATTGATAAAATAAATGAAATCTATATCTACATCTAGATATACATATAATAAAATTGTAACAGGTCGATGTCTGTACCTTATAGATATTAAAGAAAAATTAATATGGTGGGTTTTTATTAAAGCCACAGAAGCCAAATAAACAATTCTTAGAATTTTTCAGTGATTGTCTGTCTGTATATTTGTACGCGCATCAGTCGAAAACATGGAATTGAATGCAGTTTTCACCGATGTATCGCTAGAGATCTAACTTCCAGTATAGAAGAAAAAATTATAGAGTTGCCACCTGTGTTTAAAATTTCAATTTAGGTCAATTGATACGGTAAAGTGAATACTGCAATATGGCTGTCAAAAGAAAGAAATTTACAAAGGCTTACAGCTGAAAATATTTTTGTGGAAGGTTGCCACCTATTTGAAAACTTTAATTTAATTTAATTGATAGCATAAATTAAATACTGCAATATTGGAATAAAACTAAAGACGATAGGAAATTTTAATGCTGAAAATATCTTTAGAGGATTTGCCAACTGATTGAAAAATTGTATTCATTAAAATTTGTAAAATAAATGAAATATTGCAATACGAATATTAAACTAAAGAGGATTAGGAGGCTTACTTTTGAAAATATTCTTAAAGCGGGCTGCCACTTATTTGAAAACTTTAATTCAGTTAAATTTATAATATAAACTAAGTGTTGCCATATGGGTATCAAACGAGAGTATTTGAGAATAATAAAATTGCAACAGGCCGATATCTGTACATAATAGATGTTAAAGAAAAATTAATAGGGGGTTTATTAGATCAACAGAAGCCAAATCTAAAATTTCGGTATGTTTGTCTGTATGTTTGCAAGCGCATCACGCAAAAGCTAATGTATGGAATTAAATGCAGTTTTGCTAGNCTAAATTTTCGGTATGTTTGTCTGTATGTTTGCAAGCGCATCACGCAAAAGCTAATGTATGGAATTAAATGCAGTTTTCACCGATGAACATATTGTTAGAGCTCTAATTGAAAATATAGAATCCTTTTTTTTTTGTTTTAGTTTATCGTCGATCATTATTCCTAGGTATTTGAACGTATTAACTTTTTCCAGTGCGTCGTTGTTTATATTTAGAGTTAGCAACGCACCGTTCTCAAAATTTCGCCTTGATATAACCACAAACTTAATTTTTTTTTATTTCTGTTTGGAAGGGTTTTCGCTAAAAAAAATTTAAACTTTTCGTTGTTGCTGCCAAAAAAATTAAGAAATCTGAGACGTTACGTTTTACAATTTCATACAGTTCTCTTTACAATGCATTTCACTAAACTACTAAACGGCTGCATCGACTTGGTTCATATTTGGCAACACGTTGAAAATAAATATTCTGACCAAAAATTTACTCGGTATTTAGCTCGGGATATTCCTAAAATTCTTATACAGACTAAAACGTAAAAAACCAATACAGTTCACTTTGCTTAGCTGCACATCCTTCTTTGCACGAAAAACTTGTGCACGTAACCGAAAAAGGCACTTAAGCGAATTTTCTTTACTACTTCAATGAGGAAGGTATCCGAATCCCTATGAAACCAAATATTGGCGGAGCACTTACCATGTAGAAATTACTGCAAGCGAAATTTTTACCGAATGTTATCAAATTATCTATATAACTACATAAATTGATAGCCATTTTCGTTGTTCTGCGAGATGAGCAAAATAAATAAAAGGTTGTAAAATTAGGTAATTGTAGGGCCAGTGCAGGTAAACGTAATACTTTCATTGATAATTGATACTAGTCGCACAATTTTTAAGGCAGGTATCACCAATGTGCAGGTATGTTGAATGCATCTATCGGAGCAGTTTCCTTGTAAATGTTAAAAATAATGCTTTTGATGCGCATTTTGGGGTAGGTATCTTAAATGTGCACTTATAGGCAGCAAAGCAAAATATACTGTATATCTCTAAAACCAATTACGCTGGGGAACTGAAACTTAGCACTGATGCATATATTGCAAATGCATTGGGAAAGGGGGCGTGGCTCCTTCCTTCCATGCAAACTGAACTTCTCATATAGGTTATGTCTGGAACTGCTTACGCTAACGTCCTGAAATTCTACACAGCTACATATGTTATCAATACCGTAGTTATGGCGAAAAGTGATAATTATTGGAAAGGCTGGATCGATATACATTTACGTAAACGCGCAAATATCATTCGATTGGGAACCATTTTCTCCTAGAATTCTAAATCTCACTGAACTATGGTATTTATGTGAAAATTCTGAAGAATTTTTTTAAATGTTTCACAA